TGATGCCGTATTAGCGACCCTTGGCAGAGCAACGTCCAATACTGCTAAAGTATGACTGTCCTCATATAATATACCATGACGTCCTCAAGTTAAATGACCAATTCCACTACCAAATATTAGAGATTAACGACTGACACTTAGATAGTTATCCATGTGGAATCTCTCGGTGGGTCTCCAATGTTTTGTTCTATAATAAAATATTCACGTATTCATTTAAGTGTCACCACACTTTGACTTGTGAGATCGGCTACTTACTTCACAAGTAAAAAATGTCACACGTGATGGTCTATCCGTAATAACGATATCCGTATCTCGTTATTACTTACGACCACGGACGATTTAAGATTCAATCATATGTAATTTGTATCTCACAATCACAACTCCTTATGATTAACAAATTACAAAAATTTGAATCTACGGACTCTATTATTTAATTTAATTATCTATTAATTAAATAATAGATCTGCCGTTAAATTGCATTAATTATATATCAAAAGTATTTTTGTCCAAAGTTGATTGGACCTATGGCATAACACTTATAGAAGGAATATATTCCCTTCTAACAAAATCAATACTGATGAATTTGTAATCCTCTATTTTGAATTGGAATTTGTGAACTCTGAACCTACAACCTTGAAGAAGCAATTAAATGCAAATAATCAAAACTATGGATAGAAGCCATGAAGAAAGAAATGGATTCTTTGATTAAGAGTAAGACACGGATTTTGATTGATAAGCCAAAGAACCAAAAGGTTGTTGATTGAAAGTGGGTTTATAAAGTTAAAGAAGGTGAATCTAATACAAAGTGCAAAAGATATAAAGTCAGACTTGTGACTAAAGGATTTACACAAAGAGATGGTATTGATTATAATGAAATCTTCTCACCAATTGCTAAGTACACTTCAATCAAAATACTACTTGCCTTGACAACTCATTTCAACTGGGAACTGGACAAGCTTGATGTAAAGACTGCATTTCTATATGGTGTTCTAGATAAAACTATTTATATGAATCAACCAAAGGGTTTTGAAGTAAACTCTAAACCAGAAAAGGTTTATTTGTTAAAGAAGTCTCTTATGTCTTAAAACAAGTATCAAGACAATGGTACAAGAAATTTTGTTCATATATTTAGAATTTGGGGTTCCTTAAGATTAACTTTGATTCCCGATTCTTCTTCAAAGGGTCAGGTGGACTTGATTCTATCTACATACTTTTATATGTTGATGATATGCTCATTACTTGTCCTAATAGATCTGAAATTGATTTATTTTTTTAAAATCAAACTTAAAACTAAATTTGAAATGAAAGATTTTGGTCAAACTAAAAGAATTTTAGGTATGAAAATCAAAAGAAATAGAAATAATTGTGCTTTTTATGTGAATCAAAGTTTTTATTTGAATAAAGTACTTTCAAAGTTTGCTATGATTGACTACAAATATGATACTTTGCCTATTTCTAATATTTTAAACGTTAAAGTGAACAATCTCCTAAAACTAATAAAAGTTTGAGAGGATAAATAAAATACCTTATGCTAATACTATTGCATCCATTATATACCTTATGATATGTACAAGACCTGATATAGCTCATGATATAAGTATCTTAAGTAGATTTATGGTAAATCTAGGTAAAACACATTAGTTAGCTATTAAATGGATGTTACGATATTTAAAGGGCTCACTTGATTTAGGTTTAAAATTTCAAAGGTATAATGAAGGTGTTATTTTGAAGGGGCGCACTGACTCTGATTTTGCAAGTAATCTGGATAAAAGAAGATCAACTTATTCTTATATTTTTACCCTTTGTGAGGCTACATTAGTTGGAAGTCTTAATTGCAAAAGCTTATGGTTTTATTTTCCACTGAAACTGAGTACATTGCTGCATGTGATGCAGTTAGAGTGGACTTTGGTTAAGAGGAGGTTTGATAAATGAAATTGGCTTTGTAAATAAAGTAGTTAGAATTTATACAGATAATCTAAGTGATATTCACTTGAGTAGGAATCTTGCATATCATGATAGAATTAATCATCTTGACATTAAGTTTCATTTTATTAGAAACATGGTTGAAAAGGGTTTGATTTATCTAGTTAAAATTTCAACTGAGTTTAACCCCTCTGACATTGTTACTAATGTATTGAACATCACTTAAAGTTAATGAATCTAGTGAGTTAGATTACTTTGTTTATTTTTTAAAGTTACACTAACTTGAACATTTTTACTTTTAACGGTCTTACAAAGCAAATGAAACAAGTAAATTGTGTCTTGAATCCACAAATGAATACCAAGAATAGTTTAACAAGGTGGAGATTGTTGGATTATGGACTGCCTCACAATTTTGGTCTTGGACCTTTTCTATTTTGTCATGGGTTGTTGTATGTGTTGGGCTAATGGATTATTTAATAAATGCCTCTGGTTTGTAAATGCGTTTTTACTTTAAGTGGTTAGTTAATCCTAGCCTTACACGTGGCATATTTGTAACCATTAGATATAATATTTTGGGTGGACTATATAAGAGTCTCTCTCGACTATTCAATTGTACTTTGATGTGTGTATTATAGGGTTATCTTCGTCTCTTCTCTACGTTCTGTAATCTTTGTCTACTTCGTGATTTATTCAATCTCCATAAATCTTTGCGATGTAATTGTGGTTGTATTTGGTGTACAATCGTAGAGATTGTGAGGAGAGTGATTTGTTGTATAAAGAGGCAAGAGAAAAGTTGAGTGAAGAAATTCATACATTTTGTATTGTACTTAGTGATTCTTAGTGGATTCGAGGGCAATCTACTTTGTAGATGCTCAACATGGTAATTAGGTCTTTGCCTGAACATCTAGGCCCTGAAGGGCAAAAAATCTTATGTTCTCTTTAATTTTGTTATAATTTTCTTTGCTATAATTGATTTTGGTTTACAAACTTCGATTCTGAGACCAACATGTTATTTCGTTTTATCATTTTTAAATTCTTTTTTATTTTTAGTATTAATTTTCATATGTACTGGTTAGTGTAGTTTCTACACTTATTCGAGATCCTAAATAATGATATTTTACTACTCTTTGGATAAAATAATACCTAACTTATGTTGTATTATATTTTGTAGGTAAGTCTCGATGTTTGATGAAAAACTGGAGAAAAGAATGCAAAAAAAGTGAAAATGGCGAAATCCAAAAGTCAAGGACTAAATTGAAAATAATTCATAGATGAGACGGACAATTAAATGAAAATTAAAGATACCAAGGATTTAATTAGATACAATTGGAAGATAAAAGAACAAAATTGCAAAAAAATATTGCTGAAATGAAGCAAATCCAAAATTTGGGGACTAAAGTGAAATTAATAAAAAGTTACGTCAAACCTCGTGATAAAGATCTGAGAGTGTTAGGGGCCAACTGGATAAAGAAAAAGTCAAAGGGATAAAGTATGGTCAAAATATTATCACACATCAACTTTCAGACGAAAAAATTGTGCTTCAGATTTTTAGCCTCATATTGAGACCCAATTTTGGCATTGTAAACTTTCGAATTGAAAAAATGATATTTTTAAGAATTGTAGCCCTTTAAGTTAGCTTCCTGGCGTACTTTGAATCACCTTAATCGAATATCGTGAGAGAAAGTTCTGACAAAATTGAAAGTTGTTTGGCTGTCGAAAATTACGAGAGGCACGTGCCCCGACTGTGAAAGAAGCGCCTGCCCCAACCAAAAATGAGGTGACTGAGACACCCCAAACCAACCAGGCACATGCCTAAGTACAAAAATGGAAAAAAAAAAATAGATTTTTATTATTTTTGTTTTGGTAACAATTCAATGCAATCTTTTTTACACCCTTTAGATATCAAAACTTGACCAGAACGTGAGATCTTCCATTCGACCTAAATTTTATTATATTCTACATATTTTGGAGGCGGAGAGCGAGTCTATATATCAATTCAATTCGAATTATACAAGAGTTTTGAAGATTCATAGCTCGGTTTCAAAATTTAAGCCAAGAACTTAGATTTCTCCTACTTCTTTCATCTTTCTTATTTCCAGGTGATGTTTTACTACTTATTCTTGTGTAATCTAATCATAAGAATGTTAGACTAAGTTTTTCATTGTATTCGATAAATGATGAATCTCATAGTTTGTTTATTTTAATTCAAGACAATTAGTTTAGTATTTCTTAATTTTTCTTGATTGGTTTTACATTCTCATTAAATTATTTGATTTCTTGATCACCAATTAGTTAATCAGTTGTTTGTTGTAGTGTAAGAATATTCACAATAATTCTAGAACGTGGCAAAATCAACACATGGCCAATAGGTGTTAGGAATATATCTATGGCATGTGCAATCATGTGTGATAAATCATGTGAATCAATACATTTTTTCATATAAATTCGGATTGGACCAAATCAAATTCTCTCTCGATACGTTCCTCAAAAAATCCGACTCGTGCAGATAATAGGATCAGTTCGTGTTAAACATATGTTTAATATATCTTAAAAAAGAATATTAAATAAAAGTAAATTATCGATTGTCTTAAATGTATGAATTTACGAGATTACGAATTAAGAATTGAATTAAATGGCGATAGAAGGATTCATGATTCCAATACAAACATCCATATATTTTATTTGTCTTGCAAATTGGCTATGAACTCTCAATCTCAAGACTTATCATTGAAGCTTTTAACCAATCAACAAAAATGCCTTTTAAAATGAATTACTGGATCATAAATTTGGGTAATTGCCTATTACAATGGCTAGGGATGTAAAGGTTTATCGAGTCATCTAGGTTTGGACAACCATTATATTAGATGGCATGGTCGAAGCCAACAGCCTGTGTTATCCTTTGTATTCGTTTATATAATTTTTGATTGTTCAGATAATCAATCGAGAAAACAAAATTAAAAGATGATTGAGGCCAACACAGACCAGGCTCTTTCAAGCTCTGAGGCTCAGAGTCCGCCGGCAGCTGATCAGCTCAACTTATTTTACAACTCATCATAACTAAACCCCAACACGGCACAAAGTGAATAAAAGCTTTGACAAAACCATATTATTCATACCAGAAACAACAGCCAAAATACAAACCAAAGCCGAGTTCATCAAGCAACGTGAAACCCAAATAGAAAACTAAACCTACTATTTCAAGAAGCTTGTAATTTAGCAATAAGAACTTTAGCAAACTCCATCAGCTTATGAGTTGGAGGCATAACATCCTTGACAGCGTCATCAGATGCAAAATTTTCAGCCCATTTGAACAAATTAGGAGTCTTGGCCACATCAAGAAGTGTAACATTTCCCATCTTTTCTGTCACTCTCAACCACCCCAAGAAACACCCCAATGCAATGTCTAAGTACCCTATTTTGTCCCCTCCAAAGAAACTCTTGCCTTTGCTGCATTTTATGAAGGCATCTTCAAGTAAAACTAGGCCTGCAATGACTTCCTCTACTGCTTTTCTCTTAGCTTCCTCTCCATCAGCCCTTGAGATGGCCCTGATGCCGGGAAACCACTGGAAAAATCCATTTGAACATGTTCCATAGTCAAAACATGTAATTGAATAACGTTATTTTAAACGATAATGCACTTTCAATGAACAATATTGGAGTACAGTTTAAAATGAAGCACCTGTTTGTCATCCTTTAAAATTTTAAATTGTTTACTACATTATCATTCTTTACTATAAAATATTTTAAACACAAATCAATGAAGTTTTCTTATTTTTTAACTACACATTTAAAAAAAAAATTATTTAATAACTCATTATTCCTAAATAAACGCTATCTAACAGGTCCTAAACATGTCATAAATGGAGACATTCGTGAACCACAAAGACAAAAATATAGCGGAGAACACATGGGGAGTCCACCATGGGCGGACCCAAGGGGGGTCCTGTGACCCCCCAACTTTTGAGATTTGAATTTTATTTTTATTTTTTTTTAAGTTCTATTTGGTATTAATTAAAATCTAAATTTTAATACAAATCAAAGTTAACAATTAATTTTAATAACATATTTCATGAATTTCTTAACCTTTTAACTTTTATCAAAATATACTAAAAATCTAATTTTAACCTCCACCAAACAAGGACAAAATCACAAAAAATTTGAAATTTTTTTCTCTTTTCTCTTGCTCTATCTTACGCTCATCCTCACACCTTTTACCAAAACTTTAACCCATCTTATTTTTTAAAATTTGTCTATAATTTTTCCATAAATTATCATATCTACTACAAATTTTCACTTTTCAATCAAATTTTCAATTAATTAGAACCTAAATTTGTATTTTCTTTAATCCTATTTGTATACATAGAATGTGATTGAATTGATTATATCCAATTTAACTTATATTTAAAGAATTGTATTTATTTGATTAAATACTGGTTACATGTTTTTTCTTTTGATCACTTGAATTGATCGTTTGTATTAAATACACTGTAAATTTTTTAAATATAAATATATTTTTTCTTATGACGAGCAAAATATTAATGAAGAAATATTTTTAAATGTAAATTTGCATTTTCTCGATCAATTATAAATCATTCAAAAATCAAGAACAAAGTATTCGATTTGTAAAGATTTTGATTGTGCCTCCTAACTAAGAATCTCTGTGTCCGCCCCTAGTCGCAACATTCTATCGTGGTTGGACATAAAGGAAAGAACACTTGAACAAGACATTTCAATGATCAAGATTTAGCAGGTCAGACACGCAGATCGATTTACTTTTTATTTATTTATTTAGTTTTATGTGTTATGGCTTTTATTCTAAGTGAGGGTATTTTATGGGCCTTTTGGGGTGTTGAGTCGGGCAAATCAACTCATCCCAGTAGCAAGACGAGCAACAAATCGTTCGTGCAAGCCAGGTCACCTCAAACTCACAAGCGACTTGCATTTTAGTTAAAAGTAAAATTTTCAGCTTAAAAAAATAGGTGACCTGTGAGTTACTTGAGAGTTAGCTATGCTCACCCCAACAAGGTGCTTGCGAGCAGCTCACATTTTAGTTATTATTAAAAAAATAATAATAATAAAAATCGCTTCAAAAGAAAATGAGGTGACCCGCTAGTGGCTCGCAAGCCAGCTCTCTCCCTCCCTCCCAAATACCAAGGGGGCGAATCGAGCCCGACTTTCTTGAGCCGAACCTAGCAATAGACGAGCCAACTCTCCCAGTTAACACCCCTAATTTTTTTGAGTTTTCTTCGTTGATATTTAAGCTCTTTAAGGACACCGTTGTCCTTGGTTATTTTTTATTAAAATTATATAAAGAATTTTCTTCCAATATTTGATGGGCTTAAGTTCAGGAGTTATTAATTATTTATGCTCGTGCTGCACCATTAAGATGTGTGAGTTCAAATCTTGTAAATTTACTGCGCATGATTAAAAGGGATATATTCAATTGAGACTTTTAATAGCATTTTAGGATGTAAAAATTTTAGGAGTATTCAATGTAAACTTTTTGAGACTCTCTAAAAGTAGATGTATTCAATTGAGACTTTCATAAATTTTTAAGAAGTCTCTAAAAGTCACAGTATATTTAATTGAGATTTATGTAAACATTTAAGATATCTCTAAAAGTAAGCAAAAAGCACTTGTATAAAATCTCAAAATTTGTCTTTCATTAATTACGAGATTTTGGGAGACTTTCACAAAAAAAACTTTTTTTTTTCAATCTTTCTTTCTTTTAATCTTCTATGAATATGTATAATTAAAATTTATTTTTCTATTTATTATATTTCATTTATTTTTCTTTCTCTCTTTTATTATTTATCTCTATTTTCTCTGAAAAAATTAAATTGGATTCTTATAACCTTTTTTCTTTTTTTCATTCATTTTTTGTGAAAAATACCTAAATTATAAAAAATTATAATTAAATTTAAATATATTAATTTTTATTTATTTTTAAAAGTATACTATACTAATAATATTGGATCATATATATATTTATAATTTTGATTATTAATTATTTAATTAAAGTCTTAAAATTTTATTTTTTCAATTTTTTTTATTATATGGGAAGAAGAAGGGGAAGGAAAAGGAGAATTATGATAACTAACATATCGTATGTGAGAATCTCACACCAGATCCATGTGAATTATATTTCAAATGAAAGTCTTAAAAAGTTCAATCAAAGTTTTCAAAAATCCAATTGAATACACCCCCTGAGTTTCTATGAAAAAGATCCTAGAATGAATGACTTGTTGAAGACAAACAAGAAATTTGTCAAGTCTTTATCTTCCGTACAAATTAAATCAGAAGAAAGAATACCTTATCATCAATATAAGTAGCCCAAAATCTGGCAATCGCACGATCATGCGGGTCAGAAGGAAGAATGGATTGACCCGAATTCCAAACCTCATCAATGTATTCAACAATAATGAGTGATTCACATATGGGTTTCTCACCATGAATGAAAACTGGAATTTTCTTGTAAATCGGGTTCGATTTGAGAAGAAGATCACTTTTTGAACCAAATTTTTCCTCAAGAAACTCATAATTGACAGACTTAATGTTGAGTGCAATTCTAGGTCGCATTACATATGGGCTTGGCCATGCACCTAAGAGTTTCACATCCTCGGAAGCCATTGTAGGAATTTCGAGAATTACAAGTTTATGGGTTTGTAGGTTAGTATGTGCATTTGTATATATTGTCGAGATTTAATATGTGTAGGCAGAAAAATAAGGGATATATTGTTGAGATTTAATATGGTAGGTAGAGAAAAATAATGAATCATAATTGACAGGAAAAGTTGGCTAATAAATTCAACCCCCACGACCAACCCCCCC